AATAAAGTCACTCAGCAGCTATGAGAAAGCTCTGGGACTTCAGGCCCCACAACATCCAAGTTCTACTACTACAGCTCATCATCCTATGCCTCCTCTCTAGCTGTAGGGAGCAGGACTAGAGGGAGGATATGCTCTTCCAACACAGACACACACAAGCTGGGACTCTCAGCTTGCCTTCTGAAGAGCCAACCAAAAAACACATACATGTTCCTTTGCAAGAAGACTAAAATCAGAAACTTCCTGCATATTGGGCTTTCTACCAAACCTGCCACTACCCTGATCTTGGTCTGTCGCCTCCAGACACCCACTCTCAGATGCGCATAGTGCGCATCTGTAGCCCCTCTGTGCAAGGGTGGGAGAAGTTGCAGAGAACCCATTGGTTCACTTTGAAAATACAAAATACAAATGCATCCGAAGAAGTGAGGTTTTTACGCACGAAAGCTTATGCCCAAATAAATCTGTTAGTCTTTAAGGTGCCACCAGACTCCTTGTTGTTTTTGAAAATACAGGGTGGAGACTGTCACAGCAAGAATGGGTTTAAATGGCTCAACTGCTTACAATGCTCAAGACATTTAAGACAACAGTTTAACCACACATAATGTGTGTCCTGTCAGAGCTGATGCCTAGAAAGCTTATGATACTCCTAACAACAAGACACAGCAAACCAAAACAAATGTCTGGGCATCTCCAGAGATCAGCAGAGGACTATCATATAAAGTGATCTGGCTTTTCAAGGAGCTTCAGACCTTCAAGGACTGGGAACTCTGGGGTGGCTGCTGGTGGATTTTCCAGGTACATTTAGGGCATTTACATCTTGTACAATTCTCACAACCTCCTGTGATGAAGCTGTGCGTGAGGTCAGCATGACATGGATTGAGGTACGCATGCCCAAACAAGGCTGGGGATATGTCAGCCAGCCATACATTCCTCATTTTACTGTGGCCCTTCATAATTATATATTAGCACTGGCTTCTGTGAAAAGGCCTAGAGGAGTTATTCCCTGCCATTTGTTCTCACCCACAAAAACAAACAAACAAACAAACCATCCCCTACTCTATCTTATTCTTGAAGATAGAATGTCCTAAAAGCAAATCCACAGGTTATCAGAGACTTTGTGGCCTCCTAATCAAATGAAGCATAAGAAAGGCCATGACCACCAAATAAGACCTTGACTTTCCAATCACAGCTCCAGTTAAAAGGACAACCACAGTTAACTGTTGAGCTAGACCCCCCCCCAAGGAAACCCTCTGAGTAAGCAAAATTCATTTTAGTAAACAATGGAGACTCCTTCCCTAAGGAGAGGACACTCAGTCTGACAGGAAACTCTAACCAACCCACTCTCAGGGCTGTTTTATAAAATCATTCTGTCGGCAGTCTCTTCACATCTCTCCTAGGAAGATCTAGAGGCTGTTAAGAGGTAATATTGTTCCTGTGTCACTGTACCCAAGAAATAGCAGTACAAGGGAGGCAGCTGTTCAGTAAAAATAGCCTGTCTCTTCTGAGGAGTATGCAGAGTGCCTAGCACAAGGAGGCTCTGATCTCATTTGATGCCTCTTGACACTGCTGCAATATAAATAAGATCCTCAGACAATCAGTTGTGTTCTGCAAGGAGGGAACATCCTCTGAAGGTTCCTCCTTGCAGAAGGAGATTAAAATCTATTCTAACAAAGGACCAAGTGCATTTAGGACCAAATGTATGGACTCCAAATGCAGTTCGATGTTTCAGCAACTCTCCCTGTTCTCATTTTCAAGTCCCCTAACAAATGAATGGTAAAAAGTCACCCAAGCCAATATCAAGGCTCCTCTTCATTTACCAAAGCTTTGTTGTTTCAGCATTTTACTGTGGCTAATAGGGAGTGGTTTAGCTCCAGGCAGCAGTGGGACCACAGAGGAAGAGGAATTGCAGAGGACTATCCCCCCCCCCCCTCCATTCTAATCATGGACAACAAAAGGCTACAGTAGCCAGATAGCTTGCTTCCCCCTCCCTCAAACTGCTCCTCTACAAAATTCCCCACAGACATGCCTGCACACGGAAGACATGGGAGGTGAATACCAAAAAAAAAAATCAGACAAGCACAGGAGGCACCACCACATGGAGGGTTATTGGCTTAGGCCAAACAGTGCAATGCACTTCTTAGAGCAAACCCACAACATCCTACAGGACCCTGAAGCAGACACCAGAAAGACCAAGTGCCTAGAGTGTCACACAGACAGCAAAGCATTTCATATGCAATTTTTAGAGGGCAGTAGTAGAAGCACAATAGTAAAAACAATGCAACAGTGATACATATGGCCTAAAATGGAACAATTCAAGCCTATTTGATCTAGACTTTGCTGACAACATTGCTCTTATAAGTGAAGATGCCAATGGCTTACAAAAATGTACAAGCCAAGTAAAAAGTAATGGAGAAGATAGGTTTGAGATACAATGCAAAGAAATTTAAAGTTAATGGGGATAGGGACAGAAATCAAAATTGAAGAAGGAAGTGGAGAAGGTGGGCAATTTTACATATCTTGGAAGTTCCATCAACCAAGATGGTACTAATTCCAAGGAAAGAGGAAGAAGAAGGAAGGCAAACGCTGCATTTGGAAGACTCAAACATCTCCCTCAAGACAAAACTGAATGTGTACAAAGCAACTGTTATTGCCATCACAACATACAGCAGTGAGACATGGCAACTTATGAAGAAAGACATGCAAAAGCTGGATGCATTTCGTCACAAATGTCTGAGAAGAATATTGGGAATAACATATAGAGATAGGAAGATGAGTGAAGAAGTCAGAAAAATTACTGGACAAGGTACCCTCTCACAAATCTACAAAATAATCTACAAATAATCTACAAAAGACGACATCAGTGGCTGGGACACATGCGGAGAATGGAAAAAGAACACTTACCAAATACCGCCCTTGAATGGAAGCCAGAAAACGCAAGAAAAAGAGAAGTCCGCAAGTAACATGGAAACTAACAGTTCTGAACAACATCAGCACCTCAACACGAAATAGGAAGATTTGGAGAGAAGGGCAGTTGATAGGCAAAGATGGCAAATGTGGGTAAGCCCAGTGTGCAGCAAAGCACGGGATGGACTAAGGTCTAAGTAAAAGTGCAAACCTTCCCTAATTCACACTAACGACTGGGAGACCCAGGAGGTTTTTTCAAATCCATTTTTCAAATTAGCTAGGAAGCAAGAAAACATTTCAGAAGTTCAGATTCTGCCTCTCAGAAAGATACTTTGAGAATGGTACTTAGCTCTAATTGAACTAGTGCCATCACATACAGAGAATGCTATCAAGAATACTGTAGTATATTCTGTATAATGAAGCCTTAGGAATACAAGGCCTACAGTACCATCTCTGCAATAAAATCTTTGCTGGGAGGTGCAAATCAGTGAGATTCTACTGCAACAATTATACTTTGAACTTCTGTAGCAGCTTTCAGGAGGTCACAAAATGGCTTACAGAAGTATCTTCTTTTAAAAAGAGAGATGGAAACAGAGGCAGACACAGATGGTGTGTCTTGCACAAGGTCACACGTCAAGGCAGCTAGAACAGAACCCAGGAGTCCTAACTCCCAATCCTGCGCTCCAGCTACTTGACTTAACCCAGATAATCAGGCAGGCAGTAAACAGCAGTAACTGTGCTTGTGCAATCTAGGACTTAATACAGGACACCAGACAGCATCCATCTGAGTGGCTGCAGCAACCCCTATGAATTGGGAGGAGTGGGAAGCAAGTCCTATGAGTCTTGCTTTGTACTCAATTCCCCTCTACTATGTTTTGCTCCCTTGTCTCAAGCCCCTCTTCAAATGAGGCATTTTCCCCAAGATGTACAGAGATTCCCAGAACCATGTCACATAACAAGAACATTTACAATATTCAGGAAGGGGGCGGAGGGAAAGAAGTCCCAGACTATTCCAGGAAACAAGACAACATCCCTGAAATTACTTCATAGCAGGGAGGGCTCCCACCTCTTCCCCTGTCCCAGGTCAGAGACAATCCCACTGGGAGAGCCAGGTTCTTTCCACTCAGCCCAGCTAATGGAATGGTTCAAGAGTGGAGGTCAGGAACAGGGGAGGGAGGAGCTTCCTCCCTCCCCTCAGTCTAGCATATTTCCTGTAGCCGCGCCCAACTGGCTCCCTAGCCTAGTCAAGCAGGCCAAAGAAACCATTTTCTCTTTCTCTCCACTTGCTCCAGGGCATCATGACCATAACAGATAGTTGGATGGGAAACCCCGCTTTGGCCTCTTCCTGGCTTTTTAATCAGAAGAAATAAGAAATTCCTACTTCTTGTTTTCTGAGGTTCCCATGACCCTCTCTTCTCCTTCCTCTTTTCTGAGGACATTTGGACAATAAGGACTGTAACCAACCCCCTTTCACATACAATACCAAAACCCATTTCAATCCTTCCAAGCCAATGGCTTGAACTGTAGTGAGTTTACACCAGCCTCAGCCCACTTTTGTCAAAGTTGCCAGACCCCCACTTGACACTTCTAGAAGGCAGATCAAGATCCTTTCTCTAGGGAGCCTCCCCCTTTCTCCTTCCCCTCCTGCCATGAGACAGACCACAAGAGTTAATGCCAGTCTCAACTCTTACACCAGGCACTCTAAGGAGGTAAAGGGCAGGCATTGCCCTGAGTCAGGTGTGGCCCATGTGCAGTTCTATACCCCAGCCAACCAGTGGCGACTGGTCCTAGCCACTGATCATTATTATTTATTTTATATTTTATCATCTACCTTGGGGAGAGCCCCTGGGGCCCAATCTCTCCGAATTAAAAAGCGTGGCTGCAATCTGCTCCTTTCCAGGTAACTCCAATGTGCCCCTCGGCCCCCCAGTGAGCTCCAGCGGGCCCCCGTTTCCTTACATAAGCCAGAAAGCCAACTGAATAACCCCCCTTCCGGTTTCCAGTGCCGAGGCAGGAGGAGCCCGGGGAGCCCGTAGGAAGCCCGATCCCCGAACTCAGCCCGACCGCGCCCCCGTCTCCCCGCCGGCCACGGGACTCACCACTGTGCGCGCTGAACCAGCGGGGCGCGATGTGCAGGGGCAGCGCGTCGGCTAGCGAGGCTCGCGGGCCCAGGTACAGCATCCCGTCTCCATGGCGACCGCCTCCCGTCTCCTGGTAACCATTGCCATGGGCGTAGGTGGAGTCTGCGCCCGAGCCGCCGCCGCCGCCGCCCGGGGCCCGTTCGGGGTCGCCCGCCGCCCGGGCAGCCGCGGCGTAGAGGCCGAAGGGGACCCCGCCGGCCGCGCTCGGGTCCATGCCCATGCCAGCCACCGAGCTGACGGAGCGGCTGCGCAGCCCCATGGCGCCGCCGCCGGCCCGGTAGTGACCGAAGTGGGGCGCACCCCCGGGCGGGGGCACGGCACTGTCGTCGGTGGAGACCCCCGGAAAGGGCCCCCGCGAGCGGGCCGCGGTACTCTGCTTGCCACCCATGGGCAGGCCCGGCCCGGCCTGCCGCCGCCCGAACGAGAGCGCTCAGCACCTAGCCCCTGCAGACACCCCCTCGGCCGGGGGGGGGGGGGGAAGGGAGGCTAACGAAAGGGAGGAGGCGGGGACGACAAACTAGGAATTAAAATTCACCCGCGCCTCCGGCATGTTCCCCCCGCCAGGTCCCGAGAGGCCCCCAGCCGCTCATCCGCAGCCGGGGCTGGAGGGAGCGGAGGGAGCAGGCAAGATCCGCCCACCTGGCTGCAGGCCGGGAGAACAGCAGGCAAGGTCCGCCCGCCCGCCTGGCTGCAGGGCCGGGACTCGGCTAGCAGCCCGCAGAGACAATCTGCGCTAGCTCCTCCACGCCGAGGCGGCAACCGCCGCCGGAGCCCGCAGCGAGGCTGGCTCAGCCTCCGGCCTGCTCAGGCCCGCAAGGGGCCTTTCCATGGAGCGGAGCCTCCCGCCGCTCAGCCCAGCACCTCGTCCTAGCAGCCCGCTCGCCTCCGCCCCGGGCCGTTCTCTCCAGCAATACCTCGCTGCTGGGGCCAGCGGAGACAATAGAAGCTGCCAGGACGCATGCGCCACGGTTCGCTCCGCCCCCGCAGTCTGCATTAACCCCTTCACTGCCAGCCCCCCCACCGCCGCGGCTCGGTTCCCTCGGCCCAGGGGCGGGGGCAGGAGAGGTGGCGGGGGCGGACCGAGGCGTTAGGTGGGGATTAGATGCGCTCTCAGGGAGGCGAGGCCCCACCTTCCCCTGCAGCTGGGAAATGCCCCTGCTTCCAGACCCTACCTGAAAGTTCCCCCTAGGGCTCACGCTTCGAATCACCACATCAGTGCCACCAACAAAGGGGAGCGTAGACTCATCGCTGAGGATGGACAGTGTTATGTGCTGGAAAAGCCGCAAGCCTCTGCTGCTAATTATAATGATGTGTGAAGCGCTGACAGTGTGCTAAGTGTGCTATTATGGTGGAACAGTCGTGGGACCATAGTTAAGGTTGCATCATAGATTTCAGTTTATTTTTAATTTCACAGTAATGCCTAGAGCCCTTGGCGGAGATAGGGATCCATTGTGCTAGGCACTGTACAGACACATAATACAAGACAGTTTCTGTCCCAAAATGCTTACAACATTCAAACAGGACAAAGGAAAGATTAATATCTCACTTTTAAAGTTGGGAAGCTGAAGCACAAACAAATTAGTAGCTTTACTCGTGAGTGGCCTGGTTCGTTGACTTAAATAGACATGCGTCTGAGGAAGTGGGTATTCACCCACGAAAGCTTATGTTTCAATACGTCTGTTAGTCTATAAGGTGCCACAGGACTCTTTGTTGCTTTTCGTTAGAACTGTTGGTGTGAATACGTTTATGCACATACACATACATAACTTTGCAGATTTTTGGAGCAGAGACTGTATTTTGTATCATGCACACACAGAGCACCCTGTGTCAGGTCATAATGCATCCAGACCATTGTAAAAATGTCCTGTCCTTGTGCACTTCCTCCACTCCGCTGGAGATTCTAATAGATTTTACTGTAAGGAAGTTTTTCTTGATAGTCAGCCAGAAAGTTTCCATTTGAATTCATCCCATTTTTACTCTTAGGTCTTATGTTCCTTGAAATAATTCCTCTCCCTTCCTGTCACTTACACTATTCAAGTATTGTCATGTCCTCCCTTTGTCCCTGATTGTGCAATTGTCAGTACGGTGCCATGTGGATGTAGAGGTCTATTCTATATATATCTCTCATTGCAGAATTTGGGGCCTCAGATTGTGATGCACAACCAGAAAAAAAAAGACAGAAAACAGTGACTTGATGATTTGATATGGTATGACTGACTGAAATAGTTTTAACTTTCTCAGATTCCTTAAGTGCAAGAGGGCTCTATTGAAAAATTCCCAAATTAGCACTAGTAGGACCATTTTATAATATTAACACCAAATAATTTTTACAAGCTTATTTACTTTTAACTATTTATATTTATTGCTTAGTTTTTGCATTTTACTTGGCTTCCACTATGAAAATAAACTACTCAATTTTATTTAAAGTTATTTCCTAGTTAGTTTCACTTTCAAGTTCTCATATACTAGCAGAAATCTTCAGCATTGCAGTTGCAAACATTGGCCCTAATCCTGCAAACATTTAAACACATGCTTAACTTTTGCTTTGTTGTTGTTAAAAGAAGAACAGGAGGACTTGTGGCACCTTAGAGACTAACAAATTTATTAGAGCATAAGCTTTCGTGGACTACAGCCCACTTCTTCGGATGCATATATGCATCCGAAGAAGTGGGCTGTAGTCCACGAAAGCTTATGCTCTAATAAATTTGTTAGTCTCTAAGGTGCCACAAGTCCTCCTGTTCTTCTTTTTGCGGATACAGACTAACACGGCTGCTACTCTGAAACCTTTTGTTGTTGTTGTTGTCTGTGCTGCTGCCTGATCATGTACTTCCTGTTCCAAATGAGGTGTGTGGTTGACTGCTCAGTTCATAACTCTGGTGTTTGTGACTCTGAGGTTCTACTGTATGAGTAATTCCATTAAGCTCAATGGACATACTCATGGTAGTAAAGTTAAGCACACACACATAGACATTTACAAGATCAGGGCTGTGAGCAGTTTTTTTAATTTTAGTGGGACTACTAATTTAAGCAAAATGAAGCATGCGCACAAGTGTTCACAGGATTGGGACCATTGTAAGGTAATGTTGAAATCCACACAAAACTATTTTTATTTTTAATTCCATTAAAGCAATTTTGTAAATACCAGCTTTTGTAAATATTTTTTATGTTAATATTTTCACCATACTTAAATTGAGGTCCTAACTTACCAGCCAATATCCTCATAACCAATGGCAAAATAATAACTAAAGAGGAAAATGTTTACATAAATAAAGAAAACTCCCTTGCTGCTGCTTCTGTGAGCTTAGCAAGGGAGTACAGGGCTGGGGGAGGATAATTACACAGACAGAGAGGAGTGACAACTTGGACTCTGAGTGGGTCTCCTCCAATAGTCGGTGTTTTTTCTTAAAGCCCCAGCTCCTGGAGTCATGGGATCCCGTGAGCGCTCCCTCCCATGAGCGCCCAGGCCCCACAGGCTGGGAGGGAGGAGCCCGGCTGTCCGAACGCTTCTCCCAGCCCATCCCTACTGCACCGGGACTACATCTCCCAGCAGTCCTTGCGCTTCCCGCCGGGTGCGTGCGCAGTTGCGTCTCCACTCCTACTCCGCTCAGCTGTGTCGCGCAGGGGGGCCCAAGATGGCGGCGCGCTGGAGCAGCGAGAATGTGGTGGTGGAGTTCCGGGACTCGCAAGTAACGAGCCCCCGCAGCCTGGGGGAGAGCGCATGCGCCACCCCCCCTCCAGCCCCAGTCCCACCCCCGCCGTCTGGTCTGTGTGGGGAACTCCCTGCTTTTTCCCGGGGGCAGAGGCCCGCTCCTCTCGCCTCCCATCGGCCGAGCGGGGAACCTGCCTGGGGGAACTCACGCGGGCCCTGCCAGGGGTGGGATGGATCGCCCAGTCTGTACCCCCCGCCCCGCGCTGTGCAGCCCTCGCACCGGGACGGGCGCCTCTCCCAGCCCCCTCCGGGTGGGGCGGGCTGCTGTTTCTGCGGGGGTCCTTCGCCCAGCGCTGGGATGCAGCCACGTCTGGGGAGCCACCTAACAGCGCTTGATGGCGACGTTGCTCCTGCCAGCGCTGGCCAATGCGGCCCTTCAGGGACAGGGAAGGGCTCAGTTGTTTCTGCAGGGGTGGGTAGGGTACTGGGTAGCTATTTAACAGTGATGCACAAAATGTAGGGCAGGTAGTGAAGAGCTCTGTGCCCAGTTGAAGCTGCTGGGACACTGTGAACTTGAAGGCATGCTGCCATAGACCTTGTCTACACTGCCACTTACTTCGGCATAACTTACGTCACTCAGGCGTGTGAATTAGCCACCCCCTGCGCCTGCCTGGTGTAGACAGCGCTTTGTCGGCCAGAGAAGCTCTCCTGCTGACATAGGCTATGTCTAAACTGCGTACCTTACAAGGGCATGGCTGTAATGTAGCCACTCTTTGTCGCTGGGAGAGAGCTCTCCTGGCGATAAAATAAAACCACCCCCAACCAGCCGGTAGCTTCATCGATGGGAGAGTGTCTCCCACCACTGAAGCGCTGTCCGAACTGACGCTTTTTGTCGTTAACACTTTTGTTGCTCAGGGGTGTGTTTTTTCGCACCCCTGAGCAACAAAAGTTTTAATGAAAAAAGTGCCAGTGTAGACAAAACCAGAGCTACCCCTTCTTGCAAAGGAGGAGTAATTAAGTGGATGGGAGAGCTCTCTCCCATTGGCTTAGAGCATCTTCACCAGACATCCTACAATGGCACTGCTCCATCAGTGCCGTTGTAGCGCTTCTAATATAGACTAGCTCATAGAAATAATAGAAATGCGGGAGTGGAAGGGACCACATGAGGTCATCAAGTCCAGCCCCCTGCACTGAGGCAGGACCAAATAAATCTAGACATAGCTGACAGTTTTGTCCAATCTGTTCTTAAAAACATCCAATGACTGAGATTCCACAGCTTCTCTAGTTAATTTGGTCCAGCGTTTAACTACCTTGACCGTTAAGAACTTTTTCCTAATGTTTAACTAAATCTCCCGTGCTGCAATTCAAGCCCATTACTTCTTGTTCCATCCTCAGTGGCTAAAGAGAACAATTTCTCATCCTCCTCTTTATATCAACCTTTTACATAGTTGAAGGCTGTCGTCATGTCCCTGCTCAGTCATCTCTATTCCAAACTAACAAACCCAGTTTTTTCAATCTTTCCTCGTAGGTCATGTTTCTAGACCTTTAAACATTTTTCTAGCTCTTCTCTGGACGTTCTCTGATTTGTCCACATCTTTCTCAAAGTGTGGTGTCCACAGCTGAACACAATACTCCAGTTGAGCCCTTATCAGGGCTGCCTAGAATGGAGTAATTGCTACTTGTGTCTTGTTTACAACACTTCTGCTAATACATCCCAGAAGGAGCACTTTGTTTGTAGCAGTGTTACACTGTTGACTCTCATTTAGTTTGTGATCCACTATAATCTCCAGCTCCTTTTCTGCAATATTGCTTCCTAGAGAGACAAGGTGGGTGAGATAATATTTTTTTTTTTTACTGGACCAACTTCTGTTGGGGAGAGAGGCAAACTTTCAAACTACTCAGGGCTTTTCAAGAGCTCTCTCTCACCAACAAAAGTTGGTCCCATAAAAGCTATTATCTCATCTAGCTTGTCTCTCTAACATCCTGGGACCGACATAGCTACAACAACACAGCATACTCCTTCCTAGGCAGTCATTTCCCATTTTGTATTTGTGCAATTGATTATTTCTTCCTAAATGAAGTACTTTGTCTGTGTCCTTATTGAATTTAATCATATTTATTTCAGACCATTTCTCCAGTTTGTCAAGATCATTTTAAATTCTAATCCTGCCCTCCAAAGTGCTTGCAACCCCTCCCAGCTTGGTACTGTACACAGACTTTTTAAGTGTACTTTTTATGCCATTGTCCAAATTATATTTGAAGATATTGAATAAAACTGGACCCAGGACAGATCCCTGTGGGACCCCCCCTTGAGATATCCTTTCAGGTCGATTGTGAACCATTGATAATGTGCACCCATCTTGTAGTAGGCTCATCTAGGCTATATTTCTCTTGTTTGTTTATGAGAAGGTCATATGAGACGGTAACAAAACCCTTACTGAAGTATAAAATCATACTTCTGTCAAGAATTTTTTCTTACCTGTTGTTACAATTAACAACTGAGATGCCTGTAATTAAAATATTAGAGAATTCTCTTTTTTGGTGGTACTTGCTATATAGTCATGTTCAGGGTTTCCTTTGAAATGACAGTCATTTCCCCGTTGTTTGTGCGAGGCCTTCAAGAAGCAATAGGGAGCGATAAATATGTTTAAAAAATAAAATGTAATTGCTTAACCACAAAGATTGGCAAGGATACTCAGTAGCGGGTGTGTTACGTGAAACTACTTTTAATTCAGTTGTAGAAGCCTTTTAAAGTTGACTATCCCTTTAACTTTTTCAAAACCAGTTCTTATTAAAGTAAAGTTGAATAAAAATGTGAACAGTAAATTGGGTTCCCCAGGTACTTTTAGCTATGTTACTTTGTTTACAACATATATTTTTAAATTTGTTGGTGTCTCTGTAATCCAGGATTTGGGCAAGATCCCAGAATTAATCCTATTTTTTTGAGAAATGCCCTGGAATCATTTATGACTATAAGTGTTCAAGGCCTTGGTTTTATGTTTTCTTCCAAGCTACCGGAAAAGACATACTTGTGTCATTTTCCCCTTCTTACAACATGCTTACCTAGGTTTGTTTTTTAACTCTAGACTCGCCTGCCTATTCCCTTTACTTAACTGCCGGGTGAGTGACTGACTCCGTCAAAGTATTTTCTGTTTTTCTCCTGAAATGGATTTTGGCAATCTGGACAGTTGCTGCTGATTTCAGTGTTAGTGACCATCACAGCTACAACTGTTGCAAGGTGATGGGGATTTAAGCATGGCTGCAATCTGTAAAAGAGATTCATGGTGAATGGAAATGAATGACCAAGTTGATATGCAGAAACCTGGCTGCTTTCCTCTCCTGCCTGTCTATTGCATTTAAGGTTCCTTTAATAAAATAGCAGAAAGATCTCTGGCAATAATCATGGTAGGAAATCCTCTTAGCTTCATTTCCTTGAAATCCTTGTGTGAAAGTGTAGTGACTATCAAATATCTGAACAGCCAAGACAGCTCTGGGCCTGCTAAGCAACATATTTAAAAAAAAAAATCATAACCTCTGTTGCCAAGAAAATGAGCATTTTAAACTGAAGTTTGGTGCTAAGCATCCCATGCTTTGCTGAATGCATACAGTGCATGCACGTAAACAATCAATTGAGAATAACTTTTTTATTGTTTTTGCTCAATTGCTGATCATATATTTATTCCTCTTATTAAAGTGACTATACCAGGAATTCTAGTATTTTTGTCCTGCTTAATCATCTAAAATCTGATGTGCAAATTATATCTTGTTCATATAACCATGACCCATTTAAAACATTTGGGGAACAGACCCATATCTAACGTGCTGATATACTGTTTTTGTTACTGCTTGGGTTGCTGGGGAAAACAACATTTACGTTATTTTCTATGGCGGTTTATTTCTAATCTACATCGTTCAGTTGGGTTTGATTGGAAGAAAATTGCAGGCCCTCTTTTCAAGAAAACAGTAAGGCAAGCTTATATTTTGGAAGCTGTTGCTTATAGTGAAACCCTCTTACAAGTGCATCCAAATTTAAATGTTTAAAAATATACTAAATAAGGAAACGTGCTTAGAAGAAGCACGAGCAATTGCAACAACAGTTGAACACAGTAGCTCTGTCTGTTACAGTTCAGGGCACTGCACCTGTATTCTCCCTTTGTGGTCCAGCAAGAGTTCCCACTTTTCACTTCTAGCTCCCGCGCAGTCACCTCTTTTGGGTGGAGACTCGTGCCTCTCTCTCTCCTGAGCTGGATATTTCCAGGCAGCCTACACTGTGAATTCCCCAGTAGAGCCAGGCTGCCTAAGCAGGGCCTGCTTTACTCTTCATCTCAGAGACAGAAAACAGTGTAATTATCACAGTTAAGTTACCACACAGCTCTTTCTAAGCAAGCACATTTACTCTTACGGTAAAGGGATTACAGAGACAACATATTGACACAATAAAAGAGCCTATACTACACATGCCAATAAGCATACCAGAGAGCACCCCAATTCCAACAAGGGGTCTGGCCAGTAAACAGTCCTTTAAACCCCACCAGGGATTATTTCTGTGGTTTCAAATTCATAACCCTTTTTGCTCAGAACAAGGCAACCCTTTCAAGAAAGGACTGCCCCTTCCTCACTTAGACAGATGGTCCTGTCCATTGGTAGGATCAGAAAGAAGGCCCTGAGTCTGTTTTAACTCAGGCTGTTTAACCAGAAGTCCTTTCTTTGTCTGTTGGTCCTTGGAGAATCCAGTTTGAACCTGTATATGCAAGCCTCCCCAAGTGGTGATACTGCTCTGGAGGTGTTACAGCCGGAGTGAATTTGCCTAACCAGCCTCCCTGTTCTTAGCTCCTGTTAGAACTGTGATACCTCTCCCCCATGGAATTACATGCAGTCCCTGGCCGCAATGACAGACCAACTTAATTCAGTCAGGTTTGTGCAGGATATTGCAGGAAATTACCATCTCTGTTACACTACTTCTTTAGGAACAAATGTGTTGAGTTAATATGTTTTCACTGTAATTAATCCAGCCTACAGCCTTCTTTGTTTTACGTCTTACATTCCTCCATCTCTTCCTCTAATCAAAATATTAAAGAGATAAAGTTTTGAGAAATCAACATGACACCACGGTGAAGAATTGCTTCCAGAGAATTGATAATGAGATGAAGACGTTCACCTCTAGCTCACTTGTTCAGATCTGGTCCAGATCAGGAGAGATCAAATCTTACCACTTGACAGTTTATGTGAAATGTCGGGGGTCTCAGTCCTCTTCCTTGCAGTTAGATTTCAACATGACAGTTGTCAATCTTAATAGAGAAGCTGAGGATTTAAAAGACTATGGAGGCTGAACCTACTTCCTTTCTCCTAGAGCTGTTTCTTGCAGGTCAGCTGCAAGGCCCACTGGTGGATTTAGGAACTGGCACTGCCTGCTCTAGAAGTAGAGGACTTCAGTTCCCAGGGCTGGTAGGCTAGCACCTTTCACTAACACTGAACACACTCATATGTTTGGGTTTGGGTCTGTGTGGAGAGGGCTAATTGAGAGCTCTGCTTGCAGCATATGGTAAAACACGAATACTCCCTAGCTCTTACAAAGCACTTCTTAGCAGTAGCTCTCCAAGTGTTTTACAAAGGCAAACCTCAGTATCATTATCCCCATTTTACAGCTGGGGAAGCTGAGTTTCACAGAGGTGAAGCGATTTTCTGGGTTCAGCCTTCAGACCATTGACAGCCTGCATCTCACCCATGTTCTATCCACACTCCCTCTGTAACATGAACATTACACAGATGGTTAAAGAGCAGCCTACAGACAAATAACACTCAGTACTTACAGCCCATAGAGCTCCTCAATGCAGCCAACCTAATGTTTAATACCAAAACATTACTTGTGGAAACTCCAGGCCCCAGTCTACAATACTGTATCTCTTAGCAGAAGGCCAAATGGCTGATTAAAACCTGGAGTGTCTACAGGTTACATCTCCTCACTGAAATTGAAGGAGGTTGTAATCTGTGCTCTTTGATCAAAATGGATGTGGCCCATAGGTTCTTGGCAAGCTGTCAGCGCAGCCCAAAGGTGGGTTAAAATAAGCTTATGAAGAGCAGTAAACCAAAATTAATTGCCTAATGTAGTTGTTTGGGAGGGTGGGGGATACTGCCTGTGCTAGTGACTCAGCATTCCTTTCAAACATGCAACAGTTTGAACATACCTATCCAAATAAGTGTTAACGCTAATTGCAGCAATTGCAGGTAACCTAAGAATTTAGTCTAGAGGAAATCTGTCTTAGTTTTGCTCAGAGCTGCATTCTGAAAGGTCATGTTGTGAAGAAGCACTTCTTGGCATGCAAAACCTCTGCAATGAATTTGACAGTGAAATTTTTACACCCAGATTTGAGCCTGTAATGCTGGAGCAGCCATCTTGCTATTAGGTGACCTCATTTGTGACACTGACAGAACAGTCGCCCCGCATGTGAGATTGTATACTGGTGCTTCGTCCTGTTCTCGTCAGTAATTAAGTTTTATGGCATTGACATTTGTCCTAACAACACTTACTCACTGTCTACAAATGCAGTATACCGATACATAAAGCGTTAATTACAACCATACGTGAACGATTACGAAATTGCAAAGTGCTTTTTAAAACAGGAACAGCTGACTAAACCTATTTTAAAAACCTTTGTATAAGATGACTTGAACTTTGAATTATTGGCTTTCTCCCATCTCCTGGGAAAGATGGACAAAGTACCAAGAGCATAAAGTTGCTCCACTCTAGCTGTATTAAATACCCGACAGTTGATTAGTTCTTCATCAGACTAAAAGTGCTTATGTCAATAATGGCTTCAGCTATTTTCCTCTTCATTTTTCATAAAAGGAGCTATTCTAACTATTGTGATAGAAATGGCAATTTCCTGCTATATCCTAGGGAGACCTTACTAAATAAGTTTAAGTATCTTTGGAGTCCATTGCATTAAATGAATAGTTCATATATTATTGTGGGTTGGGATTGTATGTATCTGCTTGAGTGGGGAGATGTGACAGCTGTGAGTCCTTTGAAAAGTTAGGTCTATCTTGAACAATGTGTCAGACAAGAATGGGCTTTTGTAACAAAAGTGTCAAGTGGATTTCCTGGGGAATATCTAGGGCAGACTTTTTGGCCCTAGGGCCACATTGGGGAATAGAAGAAATTGTATGGCGGGCCATGAATGCTCACAAAATTGGGGTTGGAGTGCGGGAGCGGGCTCTGGGGTGGGGCTGGGTATGAGGAGTTTGGGGTGCAGGAGGGTGCTCCTGGCTGGGATCTAGGGGGTTGGAGAGCAGGAGGGGGATCAGGGCTGGGGCAGGGGGTTGGGGCATGGGGAGAGGTTCAGGGGGTGCAGGCTCCGAGCAGCACTTACTTCAAGCAGCTCCTGGAAGCAGAGGCATGTCCCTTCTCTGCCTCCTACACAGAGGCATGGCCAGGCGGCTCTGCACGCTGCCCCATCCACAGGCACCCCCCCTGTAGCTCCCATTGGAGCGCGTAGGAGCAGAAGCGGGGCTATGCACCCCAGCTGGAGCATTAATTACAACCTGCATCCGGGCTGGAGCGGGGCCAAGCCGTGCGGTGCAGCCCCCAACCCAGTGGCCTGTCCGGAGCTGGACGGCTTGCGGGCCGGCTCAAAACGGCTCACAGGCCGTATTTTGCCCACCCCGATCTAGGGGTCGGTGAATGCAAATTCCTCACCTCTGATTATGCGAAAACTCAGCCTTTTGAAGCTAGGCCCTGAGGGGCAAGCCACTGTCTGCTGATTACCTGTTACATGAGGCCAAGATCAAACTATTCATGGTGGTTCTTGATTCTGAATCTGTGCCAGTTATGAACCTGTAACCATGGGGGGAAAAAACCGAGTTGTGAGGTTTGAAGGACAGACCCCTACCAGAGCCCTTGTTGGAGTTGGGAGTGACCTCTGATGAGCTTTTTAGCTTGCAAGTAGGTTCTTTTAGTCTTTTAATATGTTTTCTCTGTAATGCTTTCACCTGAAGAATAAAGATGCTTGCTTATAAAGAGCTGTGTGGTAACTTATAACTGCAGGCTATCCACAGGGCATAGCCTCTGGAGAGAAAGCAAAGCACAGATGCTGGCCTTTTAGGCAGACTGGCTTGCTGGGAATATCAGAGTGTAGGCAGAAAATTGTGCAGCCTTTAAAGAAGGGAAAGTAATGCAGATCTCTACCCAAGAGAGGTGACGGCCGAGGAGCTGGGAACTTAGAGTGGGTGCCCTTGAGGGACCACTCGGGGGAATACAGGTACAGTTGCCCTGAACTGTGACAGAAATATCGTGGCAAATCCTCCTTCCCTTTGTTACGTTGCTGTAAATGTAATAACACCCTTTATAGTAGTAATTCTGTTTGCAGTTCTTAACTGGAATCCAGGAGGATAGCTTTAGCTCTTACTATTTAGGGTCCTAAATAAGGGAGTAGCTTTAAATTCTTAGCTTCAGGGTTTGGAGACGTGTAGGAGACCCCCTACTAGCCAGAACAAAACAATACCAACACTAAAAAATGTAGGGAGGGCAGCCAGCACTACCCTGCTCATAGGTTTTGCCAGCCAGGCAATAGAGTAAAACCGACATATATATTTATTCTTTTTTCTGCTGCCCAGTTAGTAGCTGTGAAGCTGATCAGAGTCCTGTTAATTTCACGCTGCTACTGCTCGGCAAAGCTCTGATCAGCAGTAAAAGTACTGAAGCTACCTAGCTGTCTGCAGACTTAGGCTGATGGCACTACGTTGCTTTAGAGTCAGGTCATATTCAGAAGCTTATCTTTGCAACCATGAGAGCTAGAATTTTTTTTTAATTACATTTAATTATATGTAAATTGATGGCTTAGGCCCTTGGCTTTCCAGATAAAGCTTCCCACGCACCGTTAGCACATAGATGTCAATTTTTCAAAACCTTCCTAGTTTTCTCTTCCTGCAGAATCTTATCTGCCAGTCTGTTCTGTCTCAAGCTCCTGGAGGGACTTTGGGGGTCTCTTAGTTTCCATCAATAGGAAAGTCCAACATAAATAAGACTCTGATATATCTTCACCATCTTCAATTTGTGCATGTCTGGCCTACAGAAGTGGTCACATGTTACACATGTGCAGGATTGTAAAAGAGGTCCCTGGAATAAAAGCAGGGTTAAGATGTTTTTAAAAGCTACTTCACAACAGGAATAGAACCACATTAATAATAATCATTATAGAACCGTGATGAAAAGGTTTCATCTGTGGTTGCAGAGTTAAGGGAAATGAAGTAATCTCTCAGTGCTTACAGCTGTGTCTGTCCTATCTATTCTTCAACCTACACTAAAGAGACAACATCATCACACTACCTTCAACCTTCAGCTCAGCTCCCCATCCCAGATTCTGTGATTTGTGGGGGAAGATAATTCTTCTATCTCTGATGTCAATCAAGCTTTGCTTCCACCCTACCAGCTTGGACCTTCTTGAAGATAAGCGGGCAGGCTTTCCTTCAGGATTTCAATCTTGCACATAGTTTTGTTTGACTGGAAACTTAAACTGATGGGTGTAATTTAGTTTTTTTCTCTTTGACAGGCAACTGCTATGTCAGTGGATTGTCTTGGACAGCATGCGGTGCTCTCTGGGTGAGAAATTTGTGGAAATCTCTTTCAGAAGTCAAATCAGTGGCCTTCAGGCTGATCTTGATTGAAAAGCTCATGTAATGTTGAGGAGGGTAAAACTGAATTCTGTTCAGAGCTTTCTGGGTCACGTTTCCAACGTGATAGAGGGTAAAAGACAGAAACATTAACTCAAACACTGCTGCTGTTTCTGCAGTGGATGCTTTCCTGATGACACCAGTGGAGTCTTTGGAGTGTCACTTAACTAGTATGGCCATCTGGAATTCTATTTGAAGTACAGATCACTGATGGTTTTCTTTAGAATCATAAATTGATTCATAGGCTCTTAAATTATGCAAGTGGGTGGGAGATTCTGGATTTTGCTGTCAATTCCCCTGCCAGGTAAATCCATGCAGTATGATCAGCTACAAAATTAATGCCCCAGTTTATCCTACCGTAGCTTTCCAAAGCCCATCTCCCCCACTCCACTCCCTACCCCCTATTTCCTTTTGTATAGGACACTTGTGTGGCAAGGTATGTGTGAGGAACTGAAGGGAGTGGTCTGAGAGCACCTGACCCCTATGTACATTGGCCTTTGCCTTCTCTGTCTCTGGATCCTGAAGGGAAACATGAGAGAAGAGTAGAAGTGTCTCTCTTATAAATTAGGACCTAGGCTGAGCAACCCTTGGGCTCTGACATTCCCCTGAGTGTGCACCACAAGGTCAGGCCTCCAACAAATGAATTACATATTTGAAAAGTGCAAACCACTGTGCTTACGCACTGGAGCACCATCACCAAGATATGGAGGGACTAGTCAGGTTACACCAGGCCCAGAGGAGGTCAGGACAAGGATGGGGAGCAGCTACCATCATGGTCCTCTAGTGATGTGTGAGGGCATAACCCTGCAGAATGCATGCATGGTCTTGCAGTTCTGGGTGTTGGAAGAAACCCTCTAGATTGGTATGGCATGTTAGCAGGTGCCATAGATATTAGGCTTTCAAAGCACCTGCTCCCTTTAGCACTGTGACTCTGAAGCCTCCTGAGTGGCTGGTGTTTAAACCACTCAGGCTGCATGTGCTTTGCTCCCATCTGTCACATTACTGTGAGCTAATAACTAATTGCCATATGCTAATGGCACATTACCAGCCATTAGCATGTTCTTTTCAAAATGAAAGATGTGGCTGCAGCTGTCTGGCTGACTCCATGGTTGTGCTCAATGGTCGTTCCTCCCTCTACTGCTCCTGTCTCTACCTCTTTAGAGCAAAAAGACAAAGTCTTTGGATACCCATCCCCAAGCCTGCCTGTCTCCTGCTTGCAGTCACATCCCTCAGTGCCACTTTGTCCACAGCAGTGTCTGATTTGAACAGGAACAGCAGGCCGGGCAGTCAGTGTAGGTCTAACTGGATACCATTCCCACCTGCACGTTTTGATTTGCACATGTCAGTAACACAGCTAGCTTGCCTGGGTTTATAACGGCTTAGGGGGCAACCCTGCAACTTTGAAAATCTGCTGTGTGTGCCACGCCCAGAGTTGAGCCCATTCCCAAGCCTCTGTCTGCCAGCATGCTCAGCACCCTTTGAAAACCCTGCACATGTCCCTCTCCCCCACGTAAGAGAGTCTCAGCAGCCTTACGCTGCTGAGAATGTAGCCTGAGCTTGGTTTGCAAAGGAAACCCAGCTGTCTTCCGGTTCTTCCTCTTGGCAGTGCTGTCAGAGCACCCAGAACAGCTGCTTGCTCACTATACATCTGACCCTTGTGTGGTCAGTAATAAGTCATTCAGGACATTCCAGCGCCAGCCTTTTGTAGAAGTAACTTTAACAGTCCTGTTATCCTCTTATATTTTCTCTCTCTCTTTGGATCCTCTCTAACTTATCAGTGTCTCCAGGCTGCTCCTTTCTACACTTTTGACTTCACACACTTAACAAAAGGGGATTGAGGGAATTCAGCGTTTGCAGGAGTAACTTTTATTTCTGCTTTATCAAATGCTTTTTTTTTTTTTTGCATGGTAGGCAGATTGTTAGCTCAGCTTGGTTTCAGGCCAGTCGTGATAATGCAGGCTCTTTGTGTGTATGTGCCTTGCAGCCGTCGTTTCCTCTACATAGTTAACCTGGACGTGCCGACGGAAGGTCACCGCAAGATCTCCCGTCAGAGCAAATGGGACATTGGGGCCGTGCAGTGGAATCCACATGACAGCTATGCACACTACTTTGCAGCTTCGGTGAGCTCACTCTCTTCAAACACTTACATCTCCACGAATGCCCTAGTTCTGCAGGTGGAACCTTTGCCTCTACAAGGCTAGTGGGGCTCAGGAGCAGCAGAAGCGGGGGGGTCACTGGCTCCCGAACTGTGGCCCAGCCCCCTGATGTCCCTTCCCCCATCACTCACCTTTATGCCAGTAAAAAGTGGGAGGGCATAGCGCTCCCACTCCCAAAAGTGATGGGGCCAGGCCTCCTGACCCCCTCTGTTCCAGCACCCCGGCAGGGCTCTGTGCAGGCACAAGAATAGTGTCTGTATGCCTACCTGTGCAAATCATATTGCAAGATCAGGGCTTACATTTGGTTTATTGCTGGCAAGGTGGTAGTTCTTGGTTACGGGGCTGTGAATGGTGATTCTAGATGGCTCTTACTTGTCTTTTCTAAAGAACCTTCTCAAATAGATCGGGCCCACAAATTAACATTATCCAATACGGAATGATGGGCTCTGCATTTTTTTAACCCCTCCATTTTGTTACATGACTTACAAGTGTGTTAAATTTCTTGCTCTGTACTATTTTGTTCTTGGCATTGCTGATGGGATGTGGTTCTTGACCCAGCCTGTAAATAAAGCCGATCAATATTGGCTCACCTCCATAACAAACACAGGAGGGTGAAAAAAGAGTCGGGGTTTGCAAATGGGCAAAGGACCTAGTTAGTAAGGAATGAATGGTTTTGGTATAAAGAAGTTAATAAGGTGGCACATGGACTAAAAAGCAATAATGTAAAACTGTATCTAAAGAGGGCTGGCATGGAGATCCACATGCACCCTCGCTTCGATTTCCAGCCCTGATCCTTATGGTCTGCACAAACCAGGTCCTGCAGTGATAGAGGCAGTGTGCTGAGCCCCTGCTAAGCCTGTCTCCTGCCCCTTTGCAGAGACCCACCCGTTGATTGGTCACAGGCTCTGAACAGACGTTTTCCCATTCAGCTGTCAAGATGGTGGCTGTGTTGGCCTCAACCATTTCCTGGCATAGTCTAAATGATCCACCCTGGAGAGCCCAGGGGTTATTTATTTATTTCTCTGAACAAACTCTTAGTTCAGGCCTGCACAACTCGTAAAGTGGCGAGGGCCATATTACTCCAAAGAAAACAGCTGAGGGCCGAACCCCCCCGGCCCCGCTGAACCCCCCCCCCCAGCACCGCGCAGCCCCCCGAAACACAGCACCCCTCGCCCCACAGAAACAACCCCCCCAGCGCCACCCAGCCCCCCTGAAACAACCCCTCCCCCCCCCCAGCGCCGCCCGCCCCACAGAAACAAACCCTCCTTCCCCTGCGGGCCACACAGTGAGCCCACCTACTCACCCCCCGCGGGCCGCACAAAGAGCCCACCCGGGCCGCATGTTGTGCAGGCCTGTCTTAGTTGGAAGGTTTTTCCATGTTTTGTCCTGAGGTGACTTTCACATTGAAACTAAAGGTGGTTTTAAAATAAAAAATGGAGACGCGGAGGAATCCTCCTACGTTTGTTGCTCTGACCCATGAGAGAAATGACAGGTGTCTTATCAGTGCCTTCAGGCAGCTGGCTCTTCCTAAATGGCTTACAAAAAGGTGCCCTTTACTACTGCTTTTTGATACTGACAGCCTGTGGTGATCACAGGCAATAATACCTGGCAGCCCAAAACCAATGTTAGTTGCAAGCCAAGGAAGAGGCTTCTCTTCAAATGCAGGCTGAAAAAGGAATTCAGTGTCCTCGCAATGCTGGTTCCAGCAGCAAGCCAACTTCCTGGGAATGCTGTAAGCAGTGTGAGCTTTGCTAACTCCCAGTGAACCAGGGGGTCCCTCCAGGTAGCCTTGCCTTCAGAAGAGCAGTGCTAAAGTTCTAACCCAGCATCTTCAAGACTCAAAGAGCATCCTTTTGTTCCCCCATAACAAGCTGTAGTTTGCATCAGTGTCGTCATAATAGGTTTATAGGTATCCTCGCTGCTGAAGCACGTCAGGGAAGGAGTTTGCATTAGGGCTCATGTGGCGGCATCCCCATCTCCAGGCCAGAGGACGGTCCTTTTTTTTCCCTTGTTGTTGGCTGACGTTCCAGTGGCAGTGTGGAAGAAGGGTCTCCATAGGCTAAAACTTACCCTATCTAATTTGGAGGCAGGAATGCTAGAGTCCTTTCCCTTGAAGTCTGTGCAGTGTTCTCAAGACACTTCTGAAGTCTTCAATGGTTTTCAAGTTTCTTTGGAGACAGCGGGTCAGCACTCTCTAGTGAACTACACCTTCGGTGGCCCTTTATGGCTGTGTGCAGGGGCTGTGAAACACCACCACTGACTTGGGAGCGATTCACATTTCATTTGCATGCTGTAAATGACTGAAGATAGTGCAGGCAGAGAGGAAATCCATCCCAGGGTTGCTGGAGGAGGAGTTCTTATTTTTTGGCTTCTTCCCATAGGAATTCACACACACCCTGTGCCTGGCTCTGACTAGAGTCTGGCCTGGGAAAGTTCATGCCCTTCTGTCCTGGGACCCTGTTATTCCCCTGCCTTCAGGATAGTCACAAACATTCCTCCAAGGAGGGTGAACAGACCCCTCTGAAGCCATTGCTCATGCTTGCCCTGAGGAGTGGTTGTTGGGAAGCACTCACTGAGTGTGCAGCTGTTGCTCTCTGGAACCAGGGGCTGTGCTACTGGAGATGCCACCTTCCGGCTGACGTGTGCGACTGAGGTCCTGAGACACCTGCTGACACATCCTACAAAGAGATGAGGTGGTAACCATGGTGCCCTGACCAAATTTCACTGCGGTACTGGTACTCCATCTCCCCCAAATCCCCTGACGCTTTCAACTGGCTGTGGGAGTCTCCCTGTTCTAAGCCCATGTACAGCATTGCTGTCACTGTTAAACAGCTGCCACATTCCATCACAGAGCTGGAGGGCTGCGTTTTAGTGATGGGGACGTGTGTTATCCATCTGTAAATACAGAGCTTTGGAATGAAGAGTGCTGCATAAATGTAAGCTGCCTGTACTCTGCACTATTATTGTTTCCATTAGATGTCTGTACTGTTAAAACAAGCGGATAATGAAGATAATTAAATGGCAAAAACTTTAACGCAATTAATGTTCTCCGGAATGTCAGGTTCAGTGAAGCTCAAACTTCTGAAAACCGAACAGTACAGAGTTGAGCTTGGGTCATGTTCAATGGACTGCTGCTTATCTACTTGCACTATCCAGCTGCTGGGAAACGTTGAAGCTAACAATTCTGTTAACTCCTTTGTCCGTGCATGCTCAGTGTAATCAGTTAGACGCAAGAACAAGCGCGGGAGGCTTGCAATGAGCCCTTTTTGAAATAGCATTTAATTTAATTTCCCCCAAAGAGCTGGGGGTGCTGTGGAGACCCTGGTGTGATGAGCTGAGCCCTGGTTTTATCTCTGTCTGTGAGTAAAAGGAAGGTTGCCAGAATCTGTCAGCTCTAAGAAAAGCTGTTTTTTCCAGGAGCTTTATTTTGGGAACCCCTTGGCCAAATGGGGCCAAATTTGGATCACTAACAAAACCCCACAGCCCCTGAGGCACACTGAATTTCAAGGCAATCCGATTCACTGTTCAGATTTTAGAGTACTCGGAGTCAAGCTTTAAACAGAAAACTGCTCTTAACTCTAGCAGAGCGGTCACTCTGCTGTAACAGGAATGAGTCTTGGAACCACACTATTATTTATTAGGTGTATTACAGTAATGCCTTGGAGCCTTAGTCATGGACCAAGACCCAGTTGTGCTAGGCACTGTACAAACACAAAACAAAAATACACTCCCTTCCCCAAAGAGCTTCCAATCTAAGTAACAGTTCCAGGGAGATACTTACCATACGTACACCAGGGTCGTCCTTGTAGGTCTCCAAATAGCAATGTGAGCTAGGGCCTTCATTCCCAAGCCAGAAGGAGTAGGGAGCTCCTTGAAATGCTCCTACTGTAGCAGTCACTCCTTCCTGTTTGGCAGTGGCATGAATGGGTGTTGGGGGACCTGTCATCCACCTGTCATTTAAAATTCCAGGGTAAATCTGAAAAAATGCAAAGGAATTCCTGCAGGCTGACTCGTGGCTGCTGGTAGTTTGAACGCCACACTCTGGGTACAGAGCCCAGAAAAGGACATTTAGGAAAACATTTGACCTTGGGATTTTGTCTCCATTCTTATTCACCTCTAATTTTGAGTGAATTGAAGCAAGATTTAGGCCTTGAAGAGAGTTTCAAAAGCTTTATCTGCCAGTCAGGAATGGGTTCATCTTCATTCCCCTCCCAGTCTGAGCAAAGCCTCTGCCATGAAGGGTTTGACTCACCAGTAACTGATATCGTTCCAATCGCAGGAACCCCGAACCTGACAGATCCGGAGCCCTGTACTGCTCCAGGGGCCTTCCACCACCTCATTTTATCCATTTAATTTCAGAGCAACCAGCGAGTTGACCTGTATAAATGGAAAGATGGTAACGGGGAAGTTGGCACGTCACTGCAAGGGCACACGCGTGTGATCAGGTATGATAATGAGGAACCCAGCATCGCTCAGGTACTGTGAGGAAAATCTTCATAGCTGGTGTACATTGAAGTATAGTTATCACAGCCCCTTTGCTTGGAGAAATTCAGACTATTTTTACCTACTTCCTTATTCCATGTTGCCACCACCCCACTGGGAGAAGATGTCTGATTTAAAGACAGACCACCCTTCCATGGCTGCAGCATGCACATCTGGTTCAGATTAGCCTCTGGTGGCTTCGGTGTCATTACATTTTCCTATGGCAGTTCTCCTAAAGAACAGCAGCCACCATCAGGGAAACAGACAGCAGTGGAGCTATTAAACTGAATCCCACCTATGACTTGGACTGACACCAGATATAGGGAAGTAGGGCACAGGCTGTCCTTAATGCACTAGTACACAGGGAAGCTCTGGAGTCTGATGCATGCCAGCGTGTGGGCCTGGGATTGTCACAGGACTAATGCTTTCATTCTGTGTTGGGGACGGGGTGAAGAAAGCATTTCTCTTCTGCATGTGGATTGTGAAGATTAATTGCGGCCCTTTGGAAAGTTGCCAGCCCTCTCTGAGTGAGGGCTGCGTTTGTGTCGCACATACAGCTGTGATGCGCCTGGCAAAATGGAGGGCTGGGGCTAAGAAATGCCTGGCAATCTGGGGTTTGCTGCTAAAATATCCCCTCTCTTTGTGGGGCTGTGGGCAGAAGTAGTAGCTATAAGGCAGAGTGTGGCAAGGATCGTTTACTTAAAGAAAAAAGGTAGGTCCTGCTTTTATTCATGAAGTCTTTAGGAAATCTCAATGCAAATGCCATGGGTTTGTTACGGAAAGGTGTGGAGGGTTGCTTTATAAATTGCCGAGAAGAGAATGCCAATAGTGTGATACGTGCGTAACTGACAATTGTGTTCTCCTTTGGTTTTGCAGTGATTTAGACTGGGCCGTGTTCGAGCCAGATCTGCTGGTCACCAGTTCTGTTGACACGTATATCTACGTTTGGGATATCAAGTAAGAACAAGAGCCTCCACTCTTACGCTGTGGGAAGATTACGGGGCTTCTCTTTTCGGTGACTGGCAGCTTGGAGGGAAAAGTGCTCTCATACTCTCAGCTGTGCTTGCAGAAGCCAGAACCAATTCCCTTAATCTCAACGGCTCCCAGTCCTTCAAGCAAATTCAGAATCTGCACAGTTGTGCTGTTCTATAAAGTTATGTCATGGTCTCATACTGCACAGGAAGAGGCACTGATTGATTTCCCCCTCCCCCCCATCTTTCCATCACCACTTTTTTAATAGAAAACTGCCTTTTTTCCCCTTGTGGGGGAAAGAAAAAACTCTATTTTTGTCAAAAACCTTCAGTTTTTCAACAGCCTGAAAAATTGCAAAGAAACACTTACAATTTTGTTTTGTTTTTATTTAAAGTATTTCATTAGAGTGAAGCATTACTTGACCAGTTCCATCTAAGAGTGAGTTAAAGTCCTAAGGTCGGAGTGTCCGCTGCTGTGAGTTGTCACAGTGCTGCATTGACTTACACCAGCTCAGCATCTGGCCCATCGGGACTGCCCAGCTTTGTTAATTCCTCCTAATTTTATTATTATAGCCTGGAGACAGATAAGTTGTCTTTACTCTGGGGCTGTGATTTGCTGTGAATTGGGATCATCAAAGGCTTTGATAAATTGTTGGCAGGTTGTCTAATTTTACTGTAGCTTTTTCGTATACTGCTGAATCTTCTTTGGAAATGTTATGTTGTAACGTCCACCGGTAATGCACAAGAATGGCACTAGATGTCCCTTTATCTCCCACAATAGCCACATGCCAGAGGGAGCATAGTTTTTCTCCCCCCACCCTATCACAAAGACTGCTAAAAAGCTCCCAGGTATAAATAAATTAATGGAGATATCCTATCTCCTAGAACTGGAAGGGACCTTGAAAGGTCATCAAGTCCAGCCCCCTGCCTTCACTAGCAGGACTAAGTACTGATTTTGCCCCAGATCCCTCAGTGGCCCCCTCAAGGATTGAACTCACAACCCTGGGTTTAGCAGGCCAATGCTCAAACCACTGAGTTATCCCTCCGCCCTTAGTTCTGCCTATAGTCTTAGGCCTGGTCCACACTAACCCCCCACTTCGGACTAAGGTACGCAAAGTACCTTAGTCCGAACTTACCGTGGGTCCAGACGTGGCAGGCAGGCTCCCCTGTCGATGCCGCGTACTCCTCTCGCTGAGCTGGAGTACCGGCGTCGACGGCAAGCACTTCCGGGATTGATTTATCGTGTCTAGATAAGACGCGATAAATCGATCCCAGAAGATCGATCGCTTACATCCGGACCAGGAAGTAAGTATAGACGTAGTGTTAGACTTATAGAACTGGAAGGGATCTTGATTGGTCATCTAGTCCAGTCCCCTGCACTCAAGGCAGGACTAAGTATTATATTTAATCTTAATGCTTTACATGTTAAACCACAGGTTAAAATCATGATCCTTCTCTGGCTGGTGCCCCCTTCCATTAGACTTGTTTGAGCTCAGACAAGTTTGTGTCACATCTGCCTCCTGGTTTAAAAAACAACAATAACCCCTCAGAGATAAATAAGATCCAGGAGCCAGTAATAAGTTCAATTTTCCATTAGAAAGGACCTCCCAGGGGAGAAGGGGTTGTCCCATCTCAGGAGAGATGAGGGACTCATACTGGTAATGTTGTGTTTCAGGGACACCAGGAAACCTACAGTCTCACTCTCTGCAGTTGGTAAGTACTTGTTCCTGTTATAGGCATAGCCTCTGCCTGCATTGTCATATGCCTCTGCTATTCCATCCTCCCTGCTCACTCGGGTTTTCTTCTGCATTCAGACCCCAGGCATGAAAACACTAGCGTAGGTGACTGTCCCACACAGCAGCACCCTGGGCAGTGACTATTCCTTGGAGGTCCAAAGGCTCTTTTCAGAAATGCTGTTTAGAGCAAAATTGAGGTGTATGAAGAGGAGAGGCCTCCTTGGGTTGCACGCTGCCATTGTCCAGTGCCAGAATCACCACTAGGGCCAAGAGTCACAGCGGTTTGGGGCGGAGCAGTATTGAGTGAGTGGGAAGGAGGCTGGCTGGTTGGCTGCACGCCTTGAGCAGCTGCGAGGCAGCCTGAAGAAGGAGCACCTGCGATGTAGTGCGGGAGTGGCGTGGCAGCCAGCTGGGGGGAGGGGAGGACGTTGTAGAGATGGCTGGCTGGACGAAGGAGGAGGATGGGCTTTAGCAGGTAAATGAGCTATGCAGAGCGGTTGAAAGCACAGAGGGCGAGGGTGATAAGAGGGAAGGGTCTGGGCCTTCTCTCGCTTTGGCTATGATTATGCCTCAAGCAGACACCTGCTCCATATGCAGGAGGCGCTATGGTGCTGTGCTCATTTGTTCCTGTGCTGAGAGAGCCATTCACGTGCATGTCATGCTGGCAGGCTTGCTAGGGATTCTGTCTTGTAGCAATGGCTGACTATGACAAAAGGGGAGGAGCTAAAGCATGAGAGCTGAGTTCTAGTCCTGCCTCTGCCACTGACTTTATCCCAGTTGCCTCCTCCCCATAATACTTACTCCCCTCTAGGTGGGCTTGGGAGACTGAATGAATAGTTGGAAAGCTCTTTGAGATCCTTGGGTACAGGACCCTGGGGTGGTGCTAGGACAGCAACTAGAGGGAACAGGGGATAGATTAGTAGATCGCACTGTCACCAGGCAAAGGCAGGTTTACGTGATTGGGGACTCCTTACTGAGGAGGTTAGACAGGCCTGTGACCAGGGCAGACCCAGAGAACAGAAGGGTGTGCTGTCTACCGGGCGCTAAGATACGGGATGTGGACCTGCGGCTGAAAAGGATCCTAAAAGGAGCAGGTAAGAACCCCTTGATCATCCTTCACGTAGGAATGAATGTCACAGCTAGGTTCTCGCTGGAGAGAATCAAGGGAGATTATGCCAGGCTGGGGAAAACGCTTAAGGAAATCGAGGCTCAGATCATCTTCATTGGGATTCTACCTGTTCCTAGAGAGGGGCAGCAAAGGGGTGACAGGATTGTGATGATAAATAGTTGGCTAAGGGAGTGGTGCTATAAAGAGGGCTTTGGGATGTATGGCCACTGGGAGGCTTTCGGGGACAGAAAACTGTTCTCACGGGACGGACTTCACCTAAGTAGGGAAGGAAATAGACTTCTGGGAGGGAGGCTGGCTCATCTCATCAAAAAAGCTTTAAACTAGGAATTTGGGGGAGACGGTTGGGAGATGTCCAGTTAATCTCCACACCAGATTATAACATTGAGAGGGAGGACTATGAGATAAGAACAGATATAGCCGGGGGGAAGAGATTGGAAATAAGGGGGGGGAGGGGTGGATCCTAGACTAATAGGTCATACTAGCAGTACAGTGTCCATACCAAATGGGATAACTAATGTGAGAGAGGCCAAACGGCATAAATTAAGATGTTTATACACCAATGCGAGAAGCCTAGGTAACAAAATGGAGGAATTGGAGCTCCTGGTCCGAAAAATGAAACCGGATATCATAGGAATAACTGAAATGTGGTGGAACGGTAGTCATGACTGGAGTACAGGTATGGAAGGGTATGTGCTATTTAGGAAAGACCGGATCAAAGGTAAAGGTAGAAGAGTAGCATTCTATGTCAATAATGAGGTAAACTGTAAAGAAATAATAAGTGATGGAATGGATAAGACTGAGTCTGTCTGGGCAATACTCACATTGGGTAAAAGAACTACTAGAGCCTCCCCTGGGATAGTGCTTGGGGTGTGCTATAGACCGCCAGGATCTAGCCTGGATATGGACAGAGAACTCTTTAATGTTTTTAGGGAAGTAAATACTAATAGGAACTGTGTAATCATGGGACACTTTAACTTCCCGGATATAGATAGTAACAATAATAGGGCTCAGATTTTCCTAGATGTGATAGCTGATGAATTCCTTCATCAAGTAGTTGCTGAACCGACGAGGGGGGATGCCATTTTAGATTTGGTTTTGGTGAGTAGTGAGGACCTCGTTGAGGAAATATTTGTAGGGGACAACCTTGGCTCGAGTGATCATGAGCTAATTTGGTTTAAACTAAATGGAAAGATTAACAGAATGAAATCAGAGACTAAGGTTTACGATTTCAAAAGGGCTAACTTTAGTAAATTAAGGGGACTAGTTAGGGAAGTGGATTGGACTAACATATTTAGGGATCTAAAGGCGGAAGGCGCCTGGGATTATTTCAAGTTGAAGTTGCAGGAGCTGTCGGAGGCCTGTATCCCGAGAAAGGGAAAACGGTTCGTAGTCAGGAGATTTAGACCGAGCTGGATGAGCAAGTGTCTCAGAGGGGTGATTAAGAAAAAACAGAAAGCGTACAGGGAGTGGAAGATGGGAGGGATCAGCAAAGAAACCTACCTTATTGAGGTCAGAGCATGTAGAGATGGAGTGAGAAAAGCCAAAAGCCATGTAGAGTTGGACCTTGCGAGGGGAATTAAAACCAATAGTAAGAGCTTTTATAGCCATATAAATAGGAAGAAAACAAAGAAAGAAGTGGGACCACTTAAAACTGTAGATGGAGTGGAGATTAAGGATAATTTAGGCATGGCACAATATCTAAATGAATATTTTGCATCAGTATTTAATGAGGCTAATGAAGGGCTGAGGAGTAGTGGAAGCGAGATGGATGGGAATAAAGGAGGGGGGGTTGACATTACTGTATCCGAGGTAGAAGCCAAACTTGAACAGCTTCACTGGACTAAATCGGGCGGACCAGATGATCTTCGTCCGAGAATATTAAAGGAACTGGCGCGAGAAATTGCAAGCCCGTTAGCGATAATTTTTAATGAATCTGTAAACTCGGGGGTGGTACCGTTTGACTGGAGAATAGCTAATGTGGTTCCTATTTTCAAGCAGGGGAAAAAAAGTGACCTGGGTAACTACAGGCCTGTTAGTTTAACATCTGTAATATGCAAGGTCTTGGAAAAAATTTTGAAGGAGAAAGTAGTTAAGGACCTTGAGATCAATGCCAATTGGGACAAATTACAACACGGTTTTACGAAAGGTAGATCGTGCCAAACCAACCTGATCTCCTTCTTTGAGAAAGTAACAGATTTTTTTAGATAAAGGAAATGCGGTGGATCTAATATACCTCGATTTCAGTAAAGCGTTTGATACGTTACCGCATGAGGAATTATTGGTTACATTGGAAAAGATGGGGATCGATCTGAAAATCCAGAGGTGGATAAAGAACTGGTTAAAGGGGAGACTGCAGCGGGTCATACTGAAAGGTGAACTGTCAGGTTGGAGGGAGATTACCAGTGGAGTTTCTCAAGGTTCAGTTTTGGGTCCGATTTTATTTAATCTATTCATTACTGACCTCGGAACCAAATGTAGGAGTGGGCAGATAAAGTTTGCGGATGACACAAAGTTGGGAGGTATTGCCAATTCGGAGAAGGATCGGGATATCCTGCAGGGAGATTTGGATGACCTTGTAAACTGGAGTAATACTAACAGGATGAAATTTAATAGTGAGAAGTGTAAGGTTATGCATTTAGAGATGACTAACAAGAATTTTAGTTATAAGCTGGGGACACATCAGTTGGAAGTAACGGAAGAGGAGAAGGACCTCGGAGTCCTGGTCGATCGCAGGATGACTATGAGTCGGCAATGTGACGTGGCCGTGAAAAAAGCTAATGCGGTCTTGGGATGCATTAGGCGAGGTATTTCTAGTAGGGATAAGGAGGTGCTGGTTCTGTTATACAAGGCACTGGTGAGACCTCATTTGGAGTACTGTATGCAGTTCTGGTCTCCCATGTTTAAAAAGGATGAAATCAAGGATGGTCAGAGGAATGGAAAATCTGTCGTATGAAAGGAGACTCGAGGAGCTCGGTTTGTTTACCTTAACCAAAAGAAGGCTGAGGGGGGATATGATTGCTCTCTTTAAATATATCAGAGGGATAAATACCAGGGAGGGAGAGGAATTATTTCAGCTCAGTACTAATGTGGACATGAGAACAAATGGATATAAACTGGCCGTCGGGAAGTTTAGGCTTGAAATTAGACGAAGGTTTCTAACCATCAGAGGGATGAAGTTTTGGAACAGCCTTCCGAGGGAAACAGTGGGGGCAAAAGACCTCTCTGGCTTTAAGATTAAGCTTGATAAGTTTATGGAGGGGATGGTTTGATGGGATAACGTGATTTTAGTCAATAGGTCAATAACGTGCCATTGCTGGTAATTAGTAACAATGGTCAATGATGGGATATTAAAAGTTACTACAAAGAACTTTTTCCAGAGGGTCTGGCTAGAGAATCTTGCCCATATGCTCGGGGTTCAGCTGATCGCCATATTTTGGGTCGGGAAGGAATTTTCCTCCAGGGTAGATTGGCAGAGGCCCTAGAGGTTTTTCGCCTTCCTCCGTAGCATGGGGCAGGGGTCGCTTGCTGGAGGATTCTCAGCGATTTGAGGTCTTTAGATCATGATTTGGGGACTTCAACAGCTGAGTCAAGGGAGAGAATTATTCCAGGAGTGGGTGGGTCAGCTTTTGTGGCCCGCATCATGCAGGAGGTCAGACTAGATGATCATAATGGTCCCTTCTGACCTTAGAGTCTGAGTCTATGAGCTGGTCTGAAAGTGGGGTGCTAAGCTGTGTGGCATTTGTGTGATTCGGACGTACATAGCCTTGTTCCTTCCTCATCACCCTGCTACACGTGTCTGTTCTCTCTAAACCATGCCTCTCTTTCCTAACACAATTTTTCTGTCCTCTTATACTTGACTGAACCAGTTGAGAAACTAAAGTGTATCCTAGGGGTGTCACTGGAATGCTGCTGACTTCCCACCCTCAGTCCATTACTGAGAGAGGGGTTCTGGGCTGGGTACATTAACATGCAGTATCATGCTTCCCTGCAGTATCTTAAACCAGCTGGGGATCTGAAAGGATGCCATGGGTGTCCTCCTTTGGGTTACACATCACGCTCTTGTCAAAGCGATTGGCTAACACTCCCTTTGCTGGACAGGCGCTTGTCAGGGACCCCAACAATGTTAATCTCCACCCATAATCCTTAAGGGGAAGACCTAATAGGTTCTGTGAATGAGTTACTGCACATGGACAACGCTAGAATGGAGACACAGGAAGATAGAGCACAGATGAGCAAATGTGAAAGTGTCCTTATGGGTTGCTGTTTCTTCTGCCCCACTAGTGTGTGTGTGTGTGTGTGTGTGTGTGTGTGTGTGTGTGAGAGAGAGAGAGAATCAGCCTTGCTAATGGCCCTTTAGGGTCTGTACTAGCAGCAGCCTTACTCACAGGCCATGAATTCGCAATGCTACAGAAATGCAGAGGACCTCTTCATCCACAGCAGTCTCCTGTTTTATGTTCTGTTTGGAAGCTGGAGGGTAGAAGTTTGACGGGTTGTTTTCTAATAATTTTGAAAGGAGTTGCAAATTAAATCAGGGAGAAGAGAACCTCAAGTAGCTTTATATAACTCCCTTAACATCTGAACCTTCCATGTCAATGCTAGCTCAATTATTTTTCTATTAAAAACTGGGAACCAGAAGGGAGATTGTGCAAAATAATGCACGTTGGAAAACATAATCCCAACTATACATACAAAATGATGGGGTCTGAATTAGCTGTTACCACTCAAGAAAGAGATCTTGGAGTCATTGTGGATAGTTCTCTGAAAACATCCACTCAATGTGCAGCTGCAGTCAAAAAAAACTAACTGAATGTTAGGAACCATTAGGAAAGGAAAAGATAAGACTGAAAATATCATAATGCCATTATATAAAGCCATAGTACACCCACACCTTGAATAAGCATGCAGTTCTGGTTGCCCCATCTGAAAAAAGGCATATTAGAGTTGGAAAAGATACAGAAAAGGACAACAAACATGATGGGGGTATGGAACAGCTTCCATACGAGGAGAGATTAAAAAGACAGGGACTGTTCAGCTTGGAAAAGACAACTAAGGGGGGGGTATGATAGAGTTCTATAAAATAATGAATGGTGTGGAGAAAGCAAATGAAGTGTTGTTTACCCTTTCATGTAACTCAAGAACCAGGGATCACCTAATGAAATCAATAGGCAGCAGGTTTAAACCTGCTAAAAGGAAGTACTTCTCCAGACAACGCATAGTCAATCTGTGGAACTCGTTGCCAGGGGATGTTGTGAAGGTCAAAAGCATAACTAAATTCTAAAAAGAAGTAGATAAGTTTGTGGAGGATAGGTCCAACAATGGCTGTTAGTCAGGCTCTGGATGTCCCTAAGCCTCTGACTGCCAGGTGCTGAGACTGGACAACAGGGAATGCATCACTTGATAATTGCCCTCTTCTGTTCATTCCCTCTGAAGTATCTGGCACCAGCCACTGTCAGATGACAAGATACTGGGCTAGATGGACCATTGGTCTACACAGTATGGCTGTTCTTATGAACTAAAAAAAGTCTGTTTAAGTTGTGGTCCCCTATCTTTGGCCAGATCTCAAGAGAGCCATATATTTATAGACGGGGACAGGGAGGTGGGCTGCAGAAGGAAAGATCTGCCCCTTAGTCTAGTTACCATCTTATTTGACCCTTATTTTTTATGTCTCTTATAATTTGAGGCGAGCAAACCATTTTCATCCATCAAGCATGGGCTTTGTATGCCGGAGCCCTGACACAACAGACCTGTGTCTGCTGCAACAGCTTTCTTCCTAGAGCTGACACATCCTCTGTGTCTGTGAACATTTGCTGAACAGCAGGCTTTGCAGCTGACCGAGTTCCTAAGTATTGGCGGAGCTGAGAAACACAGTGGAGCCGTACGCTGCATCTGTTGTCCCTAGCCCTTATCAAAATGCCTTGTCTCTGACCTGCCCTTACCTTGGCGAACGTAGAGCCCCAAAACTTGTTTTGAGCCTTGGCTTCTCTGAGGATCCCATGCACAAATTTTACCTCCGAGTTAAGGCTTCTGAAGTGCATTTCCTGTCAGTCTCTAACAATCCAAGAGTTCTCTAGATAGGCCAACACGAACATCCACCACAACCTTAGCTCATCTCCTGACACCCAGATACCCTTGGACTCCCCACCTCCATGATGAACTCCCCTTCACTTCCAACAATGAGCCACTTGCAGCGCACATATCTAGCGCCTTGGTCACACGCGAATGCTCAGCCTTCACTCCAACCTCAGCAAGATTAAAGTCCTGGATGTTAGTGATAGGCGAGTAATGTTAAAATCTCTATAGTGCATTACTGATGCGGGTGCGAGCGGGGGGTGGGTGGGTGGCTGAGTTAATCACAGGGCACAAGGGAGCCGGCAGAGGGAGAGGGTTGGCGCTAAAGTGGTGAGAGATGCAGAGCTTGTAGCTCCCCCCTAGAGGCACTTGCTCCCCGTGACCAGCTGATAGTGGCTGGAGGTTCAAAAAACCATCTTTTGACTTGTAAAAGGAGCACATTGGATCTGAGCTCCTTGAGACACACGCATGGAGCCCCCAAAGCCGGGGTTAGCCTCTTTCCGAAGGAGAGCTGCCCTTTAACTTTGCTACTGCGTTCCCATGAAATGTCTCACCATGGTCTTTCACGCTCGCTCCTGAGACGTCTCTCCTCTTGTAACAGTGCGGGACTCACCCCTGAGGCGCCTCCTGCTGGTCATTGGGAATTAGCTCTCCAGCCTTGGACCGCCCTCTGCAGACCGGTGTCCCACTGCCGCTGGGCCCCCGCATCCCTCCCTGGACTCCAGTGCCCTGTTATCTGGGGTGCTGCTCCCTGGCAGTAACCCCTCAGTCTTGGGGTCTCCCCACCTTGGGGAACCCCCACCCCCTATCCCCACTTCTCCTCAGTTGTAGGCTACTGCCTGTCACCAGCTAGCCCCTGGTCCCTGGGGTAGACTGCAGTATAAGCCACCCATCACAGGCAAGGTTGGATTTGGACCTGCTGCCTCTGCCTAGCCTTGGGCTGTCCCTTGCAACCCCAGTACCTGTTTGGCCTTCTGCTAGGCCGCAGCCTGGGGCTTTCCAGGCTGGAGCTCCCCAGCTCCTCTGCCATTCCCCAGCCCTGCTCCACTCAGGTACTCTGCTCAGGTCCCTGCAACCAGGTCCGTCCGTCCGTCCGTCTCCCTCTACAGCTAGAGAGAGACTGATGAGCTCCTGGCTCCCAGCCTCTTATATAGGGCCAGCTGAGGTCTGATTGGGGCGTGGCCCAGCTGTGGCTGCTTCCCCAATCAGTCTAGTAGCTTCTTTCCCCTGCAACAGCCCTCTCCCAGAGCTGTCTTTAAACCCCTCAGGGCAGGAGCGGGTGACCACCCCACTACATCTCTTAATTGTATGTCCTGTGCAGACCACAAGTGGTCTGAGATGCTGTGGGTCTGCCCTACATTTCACATCCACTTCCTGTCTTATTGGCCCACCTGACTTTTAAGCTATTTGTAGATGTTGTTCGCTGACCATTTTCTGCTCCGCTCTTTCTGCAGCTGGAGCCTCCCAGGTCAAATGGAACAAGAAAAACGCCAACTGTTTAGCAACCAGCCATGATGGGGATGTCCGTATCTGGGACAAGCGGGTGAGTTCCCGTTAGTCTTTGAGTGGCCTCTGCATGTTCCCTTATGTGGGATTGAGGCGCCATGCCAGTCCCACATTATTTCTCCTTACTTCTTTGTTTTCCACCCCTCTGAATGATCAGTTTAAGGTGAGCGTGGTGCCAGTGGAGTCTGAGATTGAAGGAGGACTGTATAATTGGCCTCCCTCTCTCTGAAAACATACCCCTTAGTACCTTGCTTTTGGCTTCTTGATGGATACTAGTTGCATCAAATATAAAGCGCCCCCTTACCCAGTGCACTGATGTATTTGACTCCTATGGAACTTTACCACTGCACTTCACAGTAACTTTTCTGTAGCCTACAAGCCATTGTTTATCTTTCTCTCTGGCTGGTGACCTCTATTGAGTATGTGGGTGGGTGGGTGGGTTGGGGGGGGGGGGGAAGCGCCTTCTTTAACCGGCAGGATTGGGCCAGATTTCTTGCTCCTAAGAACTAGCATGGTGAGAACTAAAAAGCCTCTGATTGCAGAAACCCAGCACTGCAGTGGAGTACTTGGCAGCGCATCTCTCTAAAATCCATGGCCTGGATTGGCATCCGGACAACGAGTACATCCTGGCCACTTCCAGCCAGGACAACTCTGTTAGGGTAAGTGCCCAGGGCTCTCTGAGGGAATGTACCAGTACCATCCTATGGGCCTGACCCAGCTGCCACTGAAATCACTGGGTATCTGTCCATTGACTTCAGTGGGAACTAGATCTGGTATTAGACATCACTCGTTACGGCAAGTCTTGTGAGGGTCAGTGCACACGTGTCGCCCCGAGTCACTGTGTCTGAAGCTGATAGCCCCCCCTTTGGGGCCAACTCAGCTCCATTAGTGCAAGGATGTCTCTAATGACACTGTGGAGCACCTGGCTTGTGTCTGGTGCTTTGTCGGAGCTGAGTTGCACAGAAAATCCCCCCCGAGAGCGAAGCTCACTGACTTGTTTTCTGTTCTGTTGAAGTTCTGGGATTACCGTCAGCCTCGGAAGTATCTCAATATACTCCCCTGCCAGGTTCCAGTCTGGAAGGCGAGATACACGGTGAGTGTGAACACCTGTCCCTCTGCCCCATAGCCTTGCTACAGCCTGGGACGGCCAAGGGAAATTACCTAGCGAGGCATTGCTGAAGGGGCCCTCCCTGGGAATCATTAGCACTGTTTTTTGCCATTGGCTTTTATTAGTCTGACTTAAAAACCTCAGTTACAGCACTATCAGTACGAGTGGGAGAAAGCATCTTCCGTGAGAACCAAGCTTATGGGAGGGGGTGCTTAATAATGTGAAACTTGGATCTTTCCCAGAGGACTGTAGTGGAGACCCACATACATGGGGCTTGAAGCTGGTGTCTAAAACCTAAAGAAGGCCCTGCAGCTTTGGCTCAGCAGTTCCTTATACCCTCTCTCTGCTCTGTCACTAGCTTACATTGCATAGATGGAGACAACGCTAAGAGTGGCACTATAGCAGCCTGTCCATGCCTCTTTCACAATCTCTGCTAAGGGATTTTATCACTTGAGTCTCTTCTATCAGGGCTTTTTAACAATGCCCATGTATTTTAATGGGCTGTCGCAGTTTTTGTGTAGCTAAGAATGCACTAACATGCTGTCTTTGTGGTGTGAGCTCCAAGGCGTTTAAAGCACAAGTTGTTCCTCAGCTTTGGGTATGTCTACACTCAAAACATAAAAACCACAGCAGTGAGTCACAGAGCCCAGGTCAACTGACTCGGGCTCACGGTAGGAGGGCTAAAAATAGCTGCATAGAAGTTCACACTTGGGTTGGAGCCCAGGCTCAAACCCAGCAAGGGAGGAGGTCTCGGAGCCTGGACTCCAGCCTGAGCAGGAATGTCTACACTGCTGCTGTTAGCCAGTAGTGCGAACCCAAGTCAGTTGACCCGGGCTCTGAGACTCGTTGCCGCAGGGTTTTTTTTTTTTTTTTGCACACAGCCTTTGACACCTAGCCATTCAGCATCAGGTTGTACTCACTGTCTTCCCTAGACACCAGAATGAGCCTTTCATCACCTCTCCCTCCCTTCGTCCCTGTACCATGCCTGGTGTGTGTGCGCAATACATAGTTGTAATTCAGTGCTCCATTGCAGCGTCAGGACCCCAAGTAACTGCTAGTGTACAAGACCCAAAGAGCAACACTCAACCGTCCACGTTGATTGTACAGGCTGAGCCAAACAGCAAAGAGCAGCAGGAATGGTGGGTGAAGAGGGAGTGCTAAAATCCCTGTTGCTGGTGCTAGGTGGAGTTAGTAGTAAGAAGCAGAAGGAAATGGCTAGTTTTAAATGAGCTGTGGTGAATGCCTCTTTCAAGCACGGTGCATCCCTCTCCTTTCAGGGCATGTTGGGTCCAAAGGTAACCCCCTTTGAAAGCTCCTCATTGTAGGATTGGCTCCTGAGCCCCAACAGTCCTCCTTGAAGTCAGCCCGTGGTAGTGCCAGGACGTGCCCTTGTGCCAGTATGAATGGGAAGGTGTTGGAAAGTACAGTCAGGGCGATATGGGGGAAGTGAGAGCTGTCAGGCTAACCGTTGTGCAGCTGAGCAGCCCCTCTCTGGGTGTGCTTCTCTCCCCCAGCCTTTCAGCAATGGGTTGGTGACCGTAATGGTTCCCCAGCTGCGGCGAGAGAACAGCCTTCTCCTTTGGAACACCTTTGACCTGAACACGCCGGTTCACACCTTCGTGGGACACGACGATGTGGTGCTGGAGTTCCAGTGGAGAAAGCAGAAAGAAGGTGGGTGCAGGACTGTGACTGCTGATCTCATGCAGCTGCCGTTGGTGCATGGTGGCAGCTGGAGTCTGCCTTGCGGCTGCCGTACTCAAGCAATTGCCTTTCTACTCTTGCCACTACTTGAATTAGCCTCTATCTGCCTTCCAGGCCCCACAGAGCGTAGTTTATTGTACGTGTCCTGTTGCATGAGGCCAAAAAACCATTCCCAGGCTAACGGAGCCAATCGAGATGAGTGCAGAGCGGGTCAACAGAGACTCTCTCATTTCCCACTATCCCGTCGGTCTGTTTTTAAATGGATTTTTCAGAATAAATTGTACAACAATAAGAGTGAAGGAAATAAAGTGAAGGAAAAAAATCAAAACTGTGAGTGAACCCCTCCAAGCTTCACCGTTTATTGCACAGAAAAAGCAAGTCAACAAATATCAGGAGCATCACATGCAATAAAAGCTGCATTTTCAGTAGTACCCACGTACTCAATACACCAGCCAAGGGAGATGGGGCCTGGGGAAAGGAACCCTCCTGCCAATTTTCAGACCCTAGTCAGTCATTTTCAAATATAGAAAACCCCACAAAAAGGTCAGATAACCAAACAGAGCAATGAGAACACACACAGGGCTTTAACCTGCACAGCTCCACTGCTGTAACTCCTCTCTTGCTGTAACCACAGGCCCCTGGTCCTTGATTCACACCCAGGGTCTTATGGTACCACTTCCCTCTTTGGGTGCAGGGCATGGACTTTATATCTGTCACACCATTTCGTTTGCCCTGCTCAGTGATGAGGCTGACAGCACTGGTGCAAACCACCTATCTACACAGATTTAACCAGGACTAATTTCTTCTCCAGAGCAGGTCCCCAGGCCCCCCTCCCAATCATTTAATGGAATTTTTGTAATGGCACTTAGGAAACTTCTTCCTTTGGTTTTGCTCAGAGGGATGGGTGTTTGGCTGTTCTCTTCCCGTTGAACCTATGTGTTGACCAGTAAGCCCTGTGGCCTAGGGACTAGAATACTGTCCTGGGACTCAGGAAACCTGGGTTCTTATCCCTAGCTCTGCTACTGGCCTGCTGGGCAAGTCACATCCCTCTCCGTGCCTCGGTTTCCCTTTCTGTACAGTGTGGATAATGACACTGACCTCCTTGGTAACACACTTGGAGATCTACTGAAGAGCTATGCAAGGGGTGGTGTTATATGTTTGAATATTATTAACTTCTTACTGTGTCTGCATGCCCTTGTAACCTCACAGAGGCTGGGGCTGCAGACAAAGGCTTAACTAAAGGTGTTGTTTAGTGGACACTCTTATGTAGGTTTAAACCTGGTCTTTCTCAGGGTACGTCTACACTACGAAATTAGTTCAAATTTATAGAAGCCGGTTTTATTGAAATCGGTTGTATACAGCCGATTGTGTGTGTCCACACAATAAAATGACCGCGTCCACAGTACAAGGCTAGCGTCGAC